TGACAGCCCCTGCCCCCTCCGGCACCTCTCCTGCAGACACCATGGCGGTCCAGGCCGCAGCCACCACCAGCCCCGCACTCAGCAGCCCCGCTGCCTCACCCACACGCACCTCCAACAGCACCAGCAACTCCTCAGGTCGGACCGCGGCGCCAGGGGTGGGGGTGGGGGGGTCCGGGTTACGGATAATGAATCGGAAACTTAACCTTGAACGCAGCTCCGTAAGTCACACCGGAGGTGTGTTGATACGGAACGTTAGGCAAAAGAAACTCCCGCCAGGCAGCTTTTTCCGGGCGTGTTTTATTTTCTTCTTATTATTATTATGAAAGTCCATGGCAGAGAAGGAAGGTAAGAGCCTCTCAGGCCGTGTAGGCCCCGGAAGCAAATCCAGCCTCTTCGACCTTCGTAGCCGACTTCGGCACAGGGGACTGGTCCTTTCTGTGTCTCAGTGTTCCCGTCTGTAAAATGGGCACAATGATACTCGTTTTCTTCTTATAGGACGGAGGGTGTAAAATGCCTGGCAGGGCATGGAAAGCACAAGAGGGTAGCTGGCATCCTGATTAGTAATTGTAGCGGAGGGGGAGGGAGGAGGTTGAGGGTCGCACACCAGGTAAGAATGCCAGCCAGCAATGAATTCCTGGCTCTCAACTTACACAATGCTGCGTTCCGATTATGGGGACTGTCAGTTCTCTCTCCCTTTTTTTTTTTTTTTTTAAAAATGTTTTTATTGATTTCAGAGAGGAAGGGAGAGGGAGATAGAAACATCCATGATGAGAGAGAATCATGGATCGGCTGCCTCCTGCACGCCCCGCACTGGGGATCGAGCCCACAACCCGGGCATGTGCCCCGACCGGGAATCGAACCGTGACCTCCTGGTTCCTAGGTCGAGGCTCAACCCCTGAGCCACGCCGGCTGGATAGGACTCTTAGTTCTCTTAAAGGTCCATGTGTAGATACATCTTTGGGCCATGATCTTATTTGGAAAACAAGCGAGCGTCAAATCGTAGGAGCCCCCCTCTCGCAAAGATGAAGTGCCTAGGAGACCCCTCCTTGCTCAAGGGTCTTCCCCCCCTCACCCTGCAACCTGGCAAACGCATTAATGTTCACTCTTCTGTTCGTCTCCTTGCAGGTTTGGCCCCCACAACCCACCCAACAACATCCACTCAGCAGCTTACAACAAGCCTCACCCTCCCTTCCACCACCGCAGGTGACAGCCTCACCCCCAGTCACGCAGCCACGGCACCCGCACCCGCCCGGACGCGCTCACGGGAGGGCCCTTTCGTTGAGGGGTTCAATGGGGGGTCGTAGACCCGAGGGCAGGAGTGGCAGCAGATGAGGCCAGGGAAGGGTGTATAGAATTCGGAGGATGCAATAACCTATTGTGTCCCTGTAGTAGCATCCTCCGGGAGTCGTGTTCCTGGTGAACATGTCTGCAAACAGATGAAGGCCTCTTTAAGAGTAGGGTGAGGTATGGGCGTGAGAAAAAAACAATTTTATCAACGAGCTGGGCGTTCCAGATGATGTGTGGTGGAGGCGTGAGCTCCAGCCACACAGCCTGGGCTGTGGGCAGAGGCAGGACCTCCAGGGTACAGCGGGCCGGCCGCCGAGGGGGGGGCCTGTCCGTAATCACCGGGGTCGAGCCTGTGAGGCCACCGCCTCCCACCGATTCTTCAGCTCAAAGACCCCTCCAAGCACATTCCCACCCGGTCCTGTTCGATCCTTCGTTCACACGAGATGCGTCTCAATTGGTTGAGAGAGCGACTTATTGCAAATTGCTTACCACGGCCGAGCTGGAGAATGAAGCCACCCTTGCCTAGTTTCTGACTCCCCCCCCCCCCCCCCCCCCCCCACCGCCCCGTGCGTGCATTTCGTGCACCGGGCCCCTAGTGATGATGTAACTCTATTTTGAGATAAATCAAGGGATGAGGCCCTTGAGTATGTTTGGGCTGTGTGTCGCCATGCCACAATGACACGTGTGCCCGAAAATGTTTTAATAGTAACGTGATCGCAGTGGTGGTGATAATTGGGTGGATTCATGGAAGCGTGTTAGGGAACCCACTCTTTTTCGTTGATCGCATCTGAACGTTTTGAGCTCAATCACTGTCCTACGTGCTTCGAATCCGGTGGGATCTGTGAGCCCTAACTCAGTAGATTTTACAGGACCCCCATCCCTGCCCCCAAGTGACTGTAGCGGAGAAATTCTAACATGAATGTGTTTGTTTTTTTCCTCTATTACAGCTCCTGCGACAACGAAGCAACCATGTGGTAAGTTTGCGTTCCCCGGGGAGAGCTGTGTCACTTCAGAAAAGCACGTTAATTGTTTTCTTCTTTGGGCCACGCTCGCAAGAACCCCAGCAGTGATTCTCTCCAAATCTTAAGAGCCAGCGTCCTTGGGGGGGAAGGGGCAGGAGACTTGGACGTCTTAATTTTTGGAGGAGCCTCCATACTGTTTCCCACAGCGGCTGTATCGTTTACATACCCACCAGCGGTGAATGAGGGTATTGTAGCATTGGACACTTGAAACTCTATAACTTTAAAAAATATATATTTGTATTGATTTCAGAGAGGAAGGGAGAGAGAGAGAAACATCAATGATGAGAGAGACTCATGGATCGGCTGCCTCCTGCACGCCCCACACTGAGGATCAAGCCTGCAACCCAGGCACGTGCCCTTGACCGGGAATCAAAACCTGACCTCCTGGTTCTTAGGTCGACGCTCAACCACTGAGCCACGCCGGCCGGGCGAAACCATATAATCTTATTAGCCAACGCCACCTCCAGTAAATTTGATATAAACAAATAACTAAAATGAAGTCAGGTACATAAGTCAGAGAAGGATGAGGCCTGGGGGTCCCCAAAGAATGAATGTTCCACCCGTCTGGAGACACAGAACATCGAGAAGGCTGTGTTCGAAGGCAAAGGAAATTGTAAAACAAGAAAACAAAAAGTTGTCAGAACCATCACCCACTGGATCATCAGTTCAACCAGTCATTGTCGAACCCCCGACTCGTGACAGGTTTTAGGGGAGGACCTGGGTTTTTGGTGATGATCCCAATGGACTGGCTTTTGCTCTCATAAGGGGCACAGTCC